TGGGTTCAATTCCTCAGTACCACATAAACAGAAAAAGCCAGAAGTATAGAGTACTAGCCTTGAGTAAAAGAAGCTCAGGGACAGTGTCCAGGCCCTGAGTTTAGGCCCCAGGACTGGCAAAAGGAAGGAAGGAAGGAAGGAAGGAAGGAAGGAAGGAAGGAAGGAAGGAAGGAAGGAAGGAAGGAAGGAAAGAAGGAAGGAAGGAAGGAAGGAAGGAAGGAAGGAAGGAAGGAAGGAAGGAAGGAGAGACAGAGAAAGAAGGAAAGAAAGAGGGGCTGGGAAGTTGGCTCAGTGGTAAAGCGCTTGCCTTGCATGCCTGAGGCCCTGGTTCGATTCCTCAGCACCACATAAGCAAAAAGAAAAAAGCCGGAAGTGGCGCTGTGGCTCAAGTGGTAGAGCACTAGCCTTGAGCTGAAGAGCTGAGGGACAGCGCCCAGGCCCAGAGTTCAGGCCCCGAGACCGGACCCAAAAAAAATAAATAAATAAATAAAAATTAAAAATAAATAAATAAATAAAAAAGAAAGAAGGAAAGAAAGAGAGAGAAAGAGAATGAAACAGAAAGAAAGAGAGAGAAAGAAAGAAAGAGAAAAAGAAAGAGAGAAAGGAGAAAGATAGAATGAAACAGAGAGAGAGAGAGAGAAAGAAAGAAAGAAGGAAAGAAAGAAAAAGAAAAAGAAAGAAAGATAGATTGATTACTAGGACTCTCCAAGTCGCCTTCATCATCCCTCAGTCACTGCCCCCAGGAAAGCACTACCCTGAGTTCCCCCATCATACTTCAGATTGCCTGTTTAGGGACTAAATGGGAATGGAACCATAGAGCTAGCACACACTCTTCTGACTTATTTAGGTCAATATTAGTGAAAGGTAATATATTTTTTACCTGGTAGCTCTTCCTTCTTCTACAGGTTGGCTTCCTCTAATTTCTTCCTTCTTATTTCTTAGTCTCTGTCCAGAGGCTTTGAGCAGTGATTTTTGTATTTTTGTATTTTGTTCAGAGTTTAGAACTGTTAGCACAGGGAGGGTTGGTACCAAAGCATTTCCTTTCACGTACTTTGTTCTGTGTTTTCACCTACTTCCTGTTTTTTTTTTTTTGTGGGTCGTGGGGCCTGAACTCTGGGCCTGGGCACTGTCCCACTTCCGGCTTTTTCTGCTTATGCGGTGCTGAGGAATTGAACCCAGGGCTTCATGCTTGCAAGGCCAGCACTCTACCACTGAGCCACCTTCCCAGCCCCTCTCCTACTTCCTTTTGAGTTTCTAAGTTTGTCTTTCTCCTCTACCTCCTTCCTCCTCTTATTTGTTTGGAAGTTACAAATGCATCTCTGTCTATTCTTCAGGGTTATTCTAGCCTTTTTTCCTTCAGTTCTTTTTTGACACAAAGTCTCTCTCTCTCTGTAGCCTCCAACTCACAGTCCTTCTGCTTCATCTGTCATTACATCTATTGTAGCCATTTTAACCATTGTACTTCAGTTAGCAACGTCTAAAATTAATATCATTATTTTCATATTTTTTAAAAAGCCAGGTGCTGATCGTTCATGCCTGTAATCCTAGTTACTTAGGAGGCTGAGATCGTGGTTCAAAGCCAGCCACAGCAGAAAAGTCCCATGAGACTCTTATCTCCAATTAACCAGCAGAAAATCTGGAGTGGAGCTATGGCTCCAAATGGTAGAGCTCCAGCACCCAAGCCCTGAGTTCAAGACTTACAACCTACAAAAAAAAGGAAAGAAAGAAAAGAAAAGCTGCCAGGCACAGTGGCTCATGTCTACAATCCTAGTTTTTCAGGAACTGAGATCTGAAGTGGTTCAAACCCAGTTCAGGCAGGAAAGTCTGAAAGACTCTTTTTGTTTGTTTGTTTTTGCCAGTCAGGGGGCTTGAACTCAGAGCCTGGGCACTGTCCCTGAGCTTCTTTTGCTCAAGGCTAGCACTCAACCACTAGAGCCACGGCACCACTTCTGACTTTTGCTGTTTATGTGATACTAAAGGAATCAAACTAGGGCTTCATGCCTGCTAGACAAGCACTCTACCATGAAGCCACACTTCTAGCCCCTGAGAGACTTTTATCGCTAATAAACTATAAAGAGCCAGAAGTAGCTCTGTGGTTCAAGTGGTAGAGTGCTAGCCTTGAGGAAAAAAAAAAAAGTTCAGATACAGGATTCTGGAAAACCAGATGCTTTTTCTAACTGCAAGGACTCAAGTTGGATTTCCCTGCATTATAATGGGCTTCTCTGGGGAAGGAGGAGGGCCCACAGTGGTTGGGAGGAGGGACAACACTCTGGCTCTCACAGTTATGGGGCCTCCTGGGGCCTTGGGACTCTTCATTAGGGCAGATCTAGGCACAGCTGCTTCACAGCTGCTTCTCATCTGCAACATGGAGCCTCCTGAGCACCCTAGTTTCTTCTCCCCTGTGACATATCAAAGGGCAGGAATGAGAGTGGGGGAAGTATCAAGGCAGCCCAGTAACTGGGCCTAAAGGTCCATCTTTCTAGGGCTTTTGGCTATTCTGGATAGCATAGTAGGGGGGAGGGGCGTGATGTGACTTTATGGGGCAGGGATGAGTGGTGCTAAAACCAGATGCCTGGGTGCTAGGGACCCCTGGCTTTCCCCAGACACTTCCAATATCAGTCTCAAGCTGGCACAGGAGGCTCACATCTGTAATCCTAGTTATTCAGGGGGCTGAGATCTGAGGATCAGGGTTGGAAGCCAGCCTGGGCGGGAACGTCTATGAGACTCTTAGCACCAATTGACTAACCAGGTATACTCAAGTAGTAGAGTGCTAGCCCACGGTACAGACCTGAACACATCTCTCTCCTGACCATCCCATAGGTACTGCCCATCTCCTCTCCAGGCCAAAGCCAAATTCTATCAACCTAACCCAGTCCTGTATGCCTCCACAGTCTCATCTCCCATCTTCCACACTGTGTTCCACTGGCTGTTCAGCTGTATACCACACTGCAGTATTTCCAAAAACCTTGACAGCTTGCTAGGCCTGGAATGTCCCTCCCCAGGCCCACGGTCCTCAGGCAGCTCAGGCTGCGCCTCTTCTGAGCTCCCTCTCACCCTCAGGAGTTTGAGTCTTCTCCTCTGTGAACCACATCCCTGGCTCCTTGATCCTGCCCCTACTGCATGCCCACTGCCCCTTTCTAAGCCTGACGTCCGTACAGCCAGGAGCCCCTTCTGCAACACCAGCCCTGGGACAGGCGCTCCTGAATGCTGAAATGCCAGCAGTCTCCACGGGCTCCTCTCCTGCAAACCTGCAGAGCCTAGCACAGTACATGGCAGACTATGTGTGTGCTCAGTAATTTGGTTATGTGCATCGCACAAGAGGTAACGGACAGGACCAAAGTCCTTCAAAGCCCTTCAGAACTCGCTCTGCGTGAGGAGCTGTCTGTTCGTCTTGCCAACACAGAGCTGGGTCAGGTGTTTCTGGACATTCTTCTCAAAGTGGATGGGTTCCTCACTGCCTGCTGAGCTGGAACTGGGGATTTACACCTCAGCTTTGCTGCTGCTGATCTCGGGGTCCTTGCTGTAAGAGGAGTTGATGATGCCTCCTTCAGAAGTGTGGTGGACATGAAGTAAGTTACAATACCCACCCAAGAGCAGTATGGAGAGCTTATAGTCCATGGACAGCACTCATGTACTGTAAGAACTAGACTTTGAACGGGGCACTGGTGGCTCAGGCCTGAATCCTAGCTACTCAGGAGGCTGAGATCTGAGGATGGTTCAAAGCCAGCTCAGGCAGGAAAAGTCCTTGAGACTCTTATCTGCAATAAACCACCAGAAAACTGGAAGTGGCGCTGTGGCTGAAGTGGTAGAGTGCTCACCTTGAGCTAAAGAGCTGAGGGACAGCACCCAAGCCCAGAGTTCAAGCCCCACGACCAACCAAAACAAATAAATAAACAAAAAAACCCTAGGCTTTGAACTTTCAAAAAGAGATTGTCCTGTTTATCTGTTCAATACTATAACCCCACCCCCTCCAACAACCTTCCCATGGTCAAGGATGTGGACAGGAGGTGGCCAACACACGCCATAAAACCAAGCATCTGGACCTGTATTTGCATGTGACCCGGGAGTGACTTGGGTAAGTAGTGGCCTCTTCGGCATCACGTGCCTGTTAGCACCACTGGGGGTATGATTGACAAATAAATGCAATGATATCATAGGGGATCAGTAAATATATTTTCTCATTATTACTAATGAAGGTAGCAAAATGCAAACCACCAGCTTGACTCCTCATGCATCTTTACTTACTGCTACTCTTCTCACCAAAGCTCTGCAGGCTTTCTCTGTGAACCTCTTTAAACCCAAGGCCCTGAGCACCTTCATCACAGGTGCTCTGAGGTCTGTTCAGCTTCAGGGTTCCTGGAGTAGGAGGAAGTCCCTAACTTACTTCCCATTTTGAGGCCCCTCTTTCCCCCAGGATCCGCTTTGCACAAAGAGGGAGCTCAGTTCCCACCAAGGACTGTCAGTAATAACCAAGGCCAGCAAGTCAAGCTATCCGTTTAATCCCTGTCCAATCTATCAGACTGAGATAGAAGGAAAATCTATGTCTCTGGGGCAGATCTAATCTGTCCAGGGCGCTAACCCTTGGATCCCCAGGGCAGGGCGGGAAGATAGATTTAGTAGAGTGAGAGACGTTAGAGACCAGTCAGTCCAGCAGTTTCCTTTTATGCTGGGACAAAGTGAAGCCCCACCACCACCCACCCCGCAGGACCAGATACTTGCTCCCAGGAAATTGGGGGCTGAGCTAGGCCCCTCAACTTCTACTCTCAACTTCTACTCTACTTGCAGGGTTGAGGTTTAAGTCTTAACACCTTCTACTGACTCTAGCTGTGCTCAAAGGTCATTTGGGGGAATGACAGGATTTTCTGCTTGGCCTGTTCAGAGGTAGGAAGGGTGAGGGCAAGAGGTTTAGGGCGGGGGAGGGAGGAGGGACTTCAGGAACTTCTTTGAGACAGCATCCCATAAATACAAGAGCTGCCAGGCCAAGCTGAGTGAGAGATAGGTCTTGCTGTAAGTTTCTACTTCCCACTGGATCCCAGCCACAAGGAGCCCAGAGAAGACTTGAGAAAGGGAACATTCTTCAAAGAGACCATCATGCCATGCAAGAAGTGGAATCTTGTGGCCAGTGTCAGTGCAGCCCTGGTGGTAGCACTCATCATAATGGTCCTGACCTTCACGCTTCGAGGCATCTCTCCAGGTAGGAGCTCCTCCTCTTGCCATTCTGACTGGCTTGTCCATTGCTCATCCTTACCTAACCAAGATCCTGTCCCCATCCTCTGCTCTTTGTCTCCTCTATACCCCAAAATCTATAGACACCCATCCCTAATGAGTGAGCCCCTTACCAGTTGCTGAAGGTCACCAAATCTCAGCCTTTTGCTCAGACCTCTCTCCCATGTTCCAAGTACTTTCCTTCTTTGGGAGCTGACCCCATGGCCTCCTCCATACCATGGATCCATAGGCATCCTCCTTGCCTAGGGACTTGAAGCATCTACCACCCTCCCAGTGCCTCCTGCCTGTGCCCATCCCCAGCCGTGAAGCTCTGCCTTCCCACCACCACGCTTTTCCTCTTCTCCAACCCTCTACCCTCTTTGCCCACACTTCCAACCCTGCCCTATCCCATTTTTCAATAGCTACTTATTTGTTGTTTATCTACTTTTGTGTGCTAGTACTGAGGCTTGACTTCAGTGCTTAGGCCCTAACCCATAGATAGCATTTGTCAGTCATGGAGCTTGAACACAAAGCCTAGGCACCATCCCCAAGGCTAGTGCTCCACCACTTTGAGTCACAGCTCTATTTCTGGATTTCTGGTGGTTACCTAGATGTGAGACTCTTACAGACTTTCCTGCCCAGGATGGCTTAGAAACACAATTCTCCTATCTCAGTCTGCTGAGTAGCAAGGATTATAGGCATAAACCACCAGTGTCCAGTTTTGCCCCCGTAACTTTTTCCACTCAAGGCTAGCACTCTACTGCTTGAGCCACATACAGTGCCATCTGATTTTTTTTGCCAGTTCTGGGGCTTGAACTCAGGGCCTGAGCACTGTTCAAGGTTAGTGCTCTACCACTTGAGCCATAGTGCCACTTCCAGCTTTTTCTTTTCTTTATGTGGTATTGAGAAACGAACCCAGGGCTTCATGCATGCTAGGCAAGCACTCTACCACTTAGCCACATTCCCAGCCCCTATCTCTGATTTTTTTTGTTGACTAACTGAAGAGTCTCATGGATTTTCCTGCCCAGGCTGGCTTCAAACCCACATCCTCTGATCTCAGCTTCCAGAGTAGCTAGGATTTCAGGTGTGAGTCATTGTCTAGCCACTCCTTTAGACAGCTTTGCTCTTTCCCACGGCCATCAGTTATGCTGTGCTTTCAGTCCAGAATCCTTCAGTCCATCCTTGTCAAATGCATTCTCATCCTTCATGGTCCCCTGTAAGTGTCCCCTTCTCTACCCTAGGCCAGCCCCCAGGAGCTCATACAGTTCCCTTTCATTCCCCCAGAGGCTCTGAGTGTTGGGTACCCAGTGTAGCCCGGGGAGGGTGATGAGATGAGAAATAAGGATCCTTGGGCTGGGCAATAACTCATTAATGAACCCACTGATATTCCTTCCAGGGTGTAAGGAAGATGCTGTCTGCCGCCCCGATGCTGACATGCTAGATTACCTGGCAAGTTTGGGCTACATCAACCGCAAGGACGGGTTGCTGGTCACCTGGTTCCACAGAGCCAACAGCAAGAAGGAGATGGAGGCTGCTCTAAGCAGTAAGTGCAGAGCCAGGATTGGCAAGCTGAGGTGGGGGTGAAGGAGAGGGAGGGGGAGCTGAGGCATGGCTGACACCCTGGTCACCACCAGGAGGAAATGGGCTGCAGGCTAAAGGACCTGCTCAGGTTGTGTTTCTGATCGCCAAGCCCAGGACTTAGACAGTTACAACTGACTCCAAAGTCAGCAATACTCTACACTTGCTCCCAGCCACCCCACCCTTGGCCTGTCAGGTGCTGACCTCCCCTGCTAAGGAGGCCTTTGCCCTCAGGGACTAAGGAAACCAGAGATCTGAACTGCAGGTTAGGATAAGCTCTAGATGTCAAAGCAGCTTAGACTTGCAGGGAGCTCATTGGGACAGCTTACCCCATGTTCTCTTGACCCCACTCTCCCCCGCAAAACACACACACACACACACACACACACACACACACACACACACACAGGCCAGGCACTGTGGTTCATACCTGTAATCTAGCTACACAGGAGGCTGAGATCTGGGGATTGTGATTCAAAGCCAGCCCAGGCAGGAAAGTCTATGAGACTTTTATCTCTAACTATCAGAAAACCAGAAGTGGAGCTATGGCTCTAAGTAGTAGAGCACAAGCCTTGAGCAAAAAGGTTCAGGGACAGTGCCCAGGTCCTGAGTTCAAACTCTAAGACTGGACAAAAATCCACATACGATAGTGGGTCTGTAGGGACAACTGTGTAACCTGCTTCGTGGACAGCATTTTATAGACAAAAACAGGGATTCAGAAAAGCTAGGGGACTTACTGTCTGAAAGGAAAGAGGGTCACACAGGAGCCCCAAGGTGTTGGCCCTGACCTGTGCTTAGGCCTGTGGTCAATAGAGAAACAGCTTTTCCTTCCAGACAATTGGGAAGCTTGCTGGTCTATTTAAACCACAGAGATGCAGGGAATGGTCCCCAAACTATAGATACAGGGCACTGGTCCCATCCCCAGAGTTCCTGATTCAGCTGCTCTGAGATAGGACAGAGAATTGTCATGATAAGTTTCCAGGTGATGTTGATGCTGCTGGCAGAGCAAGCTAGCAGCACTGGTGGTGCTGAGACATTGATCCTCCGGTTTCTTCCTAACATACTACCACCTCTCCTGGACCAGAACGGCCCCAGTACCATGCGGAAAGGAACCACAGGTGAACCTCAGCTGCCCTTTTATCTGTCAGGTGCCCCCTTCTTCTTTGGATCTGACTTCTCTATGCCTTACAAAATCCCAAACCACATGGCTGGATCTGGCTTCAAGTTGTCTGGTGTTAGAATGGCAGGAGGAGGCAGGAAAGGGAGGAGGTAGGAAGAACCTAGATTCTGGCTGCAGAAAGAACTTCTTAGAAACTTCATAATAGAGGCTTTAAAATGGTCTGGTATTGGCTTAACTCAAATTCCACAATTAAGGAACAAGAAATCATCAAATCAGAAAGAATTAGAAAACAACCTAGGCATCATTGTTACCTAGAAACAATCAAAAGGTCCCTGGGATGTGGGTTAACCAAGTTCATTGTAGTCACTCAGCACCCTGCAGCAGGTATTTTCAGCCTTTTAGTTTTTCTTTTTTTTTTTTTTTTTTTGGGGTCCAGTCGTGGGGCCTGAACTCTGGGCCTGGGAGCTGTCCCTCAGCTCTTCAGCTCAAGGCTAGCGCTCTACCACTTGAGCCACAGCGCCACTTCTGGCTTTTTTCTTTTTGCTTATGTGGTGCTGAGGAATCGAACCCAGGGCCTCATGCATGCAAGGCAAGCACTCTACCACTGAGCCACCTTCCCAGCCCAGCCTTTTAGTTTTTCTTTTTTTGGACATGGGGCTTCAATTCAGGGCCTGGGCACTGTCCCTGAGCTCTTTTGCTCAAGGCTAGTGCTCTACCATTTGAGCCACAGCACCCCTTATAGCTTTTTTTTTGTTGTTTATGTGGTACTGAGGAATCCAGGGCTTCATGCATGCTAGGCAAGCACTCTACCACTAAGCCACATTCCCAGCCCAGCCTTTTTGTTTTAGTGAGATGTATGGAATAATGTGAAAAAAAGTTTACAATGCTGAAACATAAATTATAAACTCAAGAGCTGTACACCAGTGGCTCACACCTACATTCCCAGATATTCAGGAGGCCAAGATCTGAAGGTGGCAGTTCAAAGCTAGCCAGGCCAAGAAAGTCTTATCTCAAATTAACCACCAAAAAGGTTGAGTTATGGCTCACGTGGTTAAGAGTGCTAGCCTTGGGTTGGGAAGGTGGCTCAGTGGTAGAGCGCTTGCCTTGCATGAGGCCCTGGGTTCGATTCCTCAGCACCACATAAGCAAAAAGAAAAAAGCCGGAAGTGGCGTTGTGCCTCAAGTGGTAGAGCACTAGCCTTGAGCTGAAGAGCTGAGGGACAGCGCCCAGGCCCAGAGTTCAGGCCCCACAACCGGACCCAAAAAAAAAAAAAAAAAAAAAGAATTACAAACTCAGGGCAATGTCATGCTAGGTAAAATCCATGTCTAGACGAAAAAAAAAAATTATGAAAACATAAACTGTTGAAAATGTAGGTGATTTTTTTTTCCCTTCAGTCATGAGGTCTTTCCTGCCCTGGCTGGCTTTGAACCACAATCCTCAGATCTCAGCCTCCTGAATAGCTAGGATTACAGGTGTGAGCCACCTGCACCCGGCCAGGTGAAATATTTTTTTATCTTCCTGCTTTTCTGTATTTTTCCAGTGGTCTGTAACAAATGTGTAATATCTTTGTGAGAAGTAGTAGTCTTTTTCACAGCACTGAGTTCTGCCTCTTCAACAGGTGATGCCATGGCCTTGGAAGCTGATGTCACTGTGGAAGGGCTCAACACTGTCAACGAGACAGGGGTACCAATCATGGCCCACCCCCCGGCCGTCTACAGTGACAACACAGTACAGAATTGGCTGGAGACTGTTCTGGCCTCTTCTCAGAAAAGTAAGAGCCCTCTGTCCCCTCCCAGCTCCCCAGTCCCTGGTCCTCATGCAGAGACTCCTCCACAAGGAAGCAAAGACTGTCTGCACCTCATGCAGTTCACTTCAGCTTTCTCCCAATGGTCCTTATGCCCAGGCACAGGGAGGACTAGGTGCGATGGGGAGGTCAAAGGGGGCCCAGGTGAGGAGACAGTGCAGAGTAAAACTGTGCAGAATGTAATCAGGGTGTCCTTCCTGGAAAACACAACTAGATACTACTGCATGTTCAAATCCCAACTCTCCCCTCCACGTCCTGCAGAATCTAGGCCTTGCCCCTAACACTCCCTCCATAGCAGCCACCCAGCTGCTATATATCTGCCAACTTGACCCCCCACCATGTTCCCTTGCTCTTGGACCTCTTTCACTGGCTGTTCCCTGGATTTAGCCCTTCCGATCTTGCCTTCATTGACACATGAGTGGTCATTCCAAAAGACCAATGTTGTCATAACCCTACTTCCACCCTCCATAGCTCCCCAGTGTCTTGCCTAGCTTTCATTTTTCTTTAACTTCCCAGCCTTTTCTTACCCCTAGATGACATTCATCATACTAGGTCCTTTCTCTGTGCAAACACCTCTTCCTAGAGGCTGGGTGAGCTTCTCTTACAGGCTCTGGTGGATTAAGGTTCTCTCCATCTGCTCTGGGCAGGAATTGAAGCCCCTTTCTTTAGCTGTCTGTGTTTCTACCTCATGGATGGTACTTATTGTTCTAGAGATGAAACTCTACTCTGGGTAAGCTCTGCCTGTTTTGGAAACCCATCCTTAATACCCTGCCAGGATCTGTCTTCCTACTTTCCCCTGATCCTCATCATACACACACACACACACACACACACACACACACACACAGAGCCCTGGAGAGGAGTCATATCTCCCAGTTCCCAAGCCTTTGACCCTTTCCACACAGGCATCAAATTGGACTTCAAGAGCATCAAAGCTGTGGGCCCCTCCCTGGACCTCTTGCGGCAGCTGACAGAAGCTGGCAGAGTCCGGAGGCCCGTGTGGATCAATGCGGACATTCTGAAAGGCCCCAATGTGCCCATCTCCATTGAGGTCAATGCCACACAGTGAGTGTCCATGCTTCTCCTGTCAATATCTAACCCCAGGAGACCTTGTCAAGTTTGTTTCCAGTCCTACCATGTTATGTCACCTGAAGCCCTTAGCCTTGAAGGCCTTTGAGCACTCTCTCTCTCTCTCTCTCATATACTGGGATTTGAACTTAGAACATGGCATACTAGGAAAAGCTCTATTTCTTTTTTTTTCTGTTGGTCGTGGGACTTGAACTCTGGGCCTAGATATTGTCCCCGAACTCTTCAGCTCAAGACTAGCGCTCTACCACTTAAAGCCACAGCTCCACTTTCGGTTTTCTGGTGGTTTACTGGAGATAAGAGACTCATGAACTTTCCTGCTTGGGCTGGCTTTGAACAAAGATCCTCAGATCTCAGCCTCCTGAGTAGCTAAGATTACAGGCGTGAGCTACCAGTGCCTGGCTAAGAGCTATTTTTGGAGCCAAGCCTCCAGCTCTTTCCCTTTCCTTTCTGATGAGCCTTCTCCCAGACAAGCTACCTTCAGAACCATCCCTGACATTCCAGGCTGCTGAGGGACTTCCTGTGAGCACGCTCGCTCTCTCCCCGCCTCCCCCCACACACACTTCCTAGCACAGCATTGATTTTGTTGGGCTGTCACAGGCCCAAGTTCTCTGTTCCCTCAGTAGCAAGCACAGGATTTGGCTCGCTAGAAAAGTCTAGAAAGAACTCTGGCTCCCTCCCAGCCCTCCTGAAGGCCCAGCACTGCTCAGCATAGCCCTCCCACACACCAGCCTCATGGGCTCCACATGTAGAGAAGATATTGTTGATTTGATCCCTATGCAGCACTGCCAAGTTAGGGGTGCATTTTCCTCTTTTTTTTTTTTTCAGATGTGAGAGCTTACAATCATGTGAGTTCATTTTGTTGAATGTTATTATGTCTGTCAGACACACTTTCAAACACTTTATATACAGAACACCATTTAACTTTTACAATGAAAATGAAACAGGAACTTTGTTCATCTTGTTTTTTAATTTTTTAAAATTGTTACTATAAAGGTGATGTTCAAAGGGGTTGCAGTTACATCAGGTAATGAGTACATTTCTTTTGGGACAATGTCACCCTTTCCTTTGCTCTACGCTATTCATTTTAAATGACAGGAACTTGCCTTTTTATCTGGGGGTAGGGTACTTGGGATAAGATCCAGGGTTTCACGCATAAGGCAAGAACTCCATAATTGAGCTAGCCTTTTTTGTTTTTTTTGTTTTAAGATAAGGTGTCACTTTGTAGTCAGGATCCTCTTGAATGGACACTCCTGAGTGTTGGAATTACAGGCACGCACTACAACATTCATCCTAACCTACACGCTCTTTATCCTCCATTTTCTGCCTCTATCCAGCCTATTTATTTGTCCACCCAGTATTTATTGTGCTTCTGAAATGTATTTGGAAAGCAGCTGTTAAGAAATATACTTGATGGCCCAAGATAAATAATGGCTCCTTTTCTTTTAGTACTGATTTTACTCACGTGGGAGAAGTAAAGAGGGACAACATTCTTTGCCTTTTAAATTTTTCATCAGAAAAATTCAAGTAAAATAACTTCAGAGACACATCTGGCAGAGCCCAAATCTGTAAACCTTGGGTCTATGATCCAGTCTCCTAAGCCCTGTACTGAAGGATTTGCTCAATAGGAATCAGGACATGAACTCAGGCCTCCATGACTCCAAAGTGCATGCCTTTTTGGTTGGGACTATGAGCAAGCCCTCTCACTGTCCTTAGATCACAGATTCAATAGGCCCTACTGCTTCCTAGCTCTTGAGACCTCAAGAAAGGAAGGGCTCTGAAAGACAGGATGAGGCTCTGATTCTTGGCAGGTTCCTGGCACTGGTCCAGGAGAAGTATCCTGAGGCCACCCTGTCGCTGGGCTGGACCACTCTCTACGTGCCACTGTCACCAAACAACACCTACACTCAAGCCATGGTGGAGAAGATGCAGGCACTGGTGGGAGATGTACCTCAGAAGATCACCTTCCCTTTGCGAGCGGTCATGGTCCGGGCTGCCTGGCCTTACTTCAGCTGGCTACTTGGCCAATCTGACAGGTGAGAACCCCATAAACTCTTGTCACTACCCCCACTGTATCCAATTCATTACCAGGCTTGGAAAGATCCCAAAAGATCATCGCCAGTATAGTCCTCAGCTCCATCTGGCCCAACCTACTGATGCTCATCACCAATGCCCTGCCTTTGGCTTATATATCCCTGGTGATTGACTGTTCACTATAGGATGGGGATGGGAAGGTAGGGGGAGGGCTACAACTGTTAATTCAGAAATAGGCACTGTAAGTGGGTACCTCTTTCCTCCCAGACCTCTGCTTTCAGGGAGGAGGACTGGTGGGAAGCTGGAGGGCAGGTGCAAGTGCTCCACCCCTGGCCCAGCAGGATCCACCTCTAGGCACAGGAGTGGGGGTCCTACTGGTCCCAGGCAAGGACTGAGGCAACTCTCTGGATCTAGGTACTCCCTGACACTGTGGCAGGGCAGCCAGGACCCTGTGTCAGTGGACGATCTTCTCTACATCCGGGACAACAGCGCTGCAAACCAAGTCTACTATGACCTCTTTGAGCCAGTCTTGTCCCAGTTCAAGCAGATGGCTTGTAAGGAGCCTGGGAAGGGAAATGTGGGCTGGATTCTGAACAGGGAAGTCTTAGGGGTAGGCACTGGAGGAGAGCTTGGGGTCCAGAGGAACACTGGAAGGGGAAAAATCCTGAGTGGATTGGAGGCAGGAGGAAACCATCAGGTAGCCAGTTATGTCCGCCCCTTGGGATCAGAGCCATTACTGAATGAAGATTCCAAACCTCATACACTTTCCATACTACATGGTTCCTCTGTGGGCACACCACTGTTGTACAGTACACCCTCTCTGCCCACAAATCAATGATCAGGTGTTTCTAGGCAAGCCCGTGTCCCCTCGACCCTGATCCCAGGACAGACTTCAGTCAAGCCATGCAGAGGTCAAATCCCTGACTCTGGCAGTCACCTAAGGGAGCAGGGCATAGATATCGGCTTGGGGGCCATTCAGTTCTAATCCCAGCAACTCTGCAGCTAATCATTTCTCTCTAGCTAGCGAAGGTAGAGGTGAAGGCTAGTCAGTGGGTTGCTAGGTAAGCTTGGAGGGGAATGCAGTAGCTGTCAGGTATACAGAAGGTGCTCCCTGAATGACAGCTACTTCATCTGGTCGATTTTGGGTTCCATAGTGAACGACACTCGGAAGCGGACCTATTACACAGGCAGCAGCTTGGTCCCTCTTCTCCAGCTTCCAGGGGGTGATGGTCTGAATGTGGAGTGGATGGTTCCAGAAGTTCACAGCAGTAGAGGAACAACAATTAGCATCCCTGGTGAGTGCCCACAGCCCGGGAGCTCCGGACTGTCCTGTGCATGGCAACATCAGCCCATGCCCATCCACACATTAGGTACAAAGACAGGCAGTGTGTCAAGACCATGGCGCTCCTCAAGGAGCAGGCACAGGGCACAAGGTACAGAGCAGAGACATAAGGGTTAAGAGCTGAGCTGGCAGCTCATTCCAATCTGACAGCTTGCAGGCAGAGTACCTAGAACCCAAGCCCAGATCAACAGATTCTGCTGAGCTGACAATAGCTCTTCCTTGACCCTCCCTTCTGTCCCCTGCTGCCCCTTTTACAAGAGACTTTGGCATCCTATGGTAACCAGGACCCATTGCCTCTTTCAGATAGAGAAGGCATGATCCTGCTGGACGTCAGCCTGCAGAAAACTACAGCCAGAGACCCCGTGCCCACTGTGCTTGTCCCAGGTGGCACTGCTGTGACCCTGGAGTTGTGCCTGCTACAGTTGGCCACACGCCCTGGACGCTGGGGCATCCATGTGCACATAGTGGATCCTGCAGCCCTCTGGCCATCCCTGACCATCCTGGCACACCTCTCCACCCTTGGCCACCTGTCTCGGCCTGTGTGGGTAGGGGCTACAATCTCACATGGAAGTTTTGTGGCTCCCGGCTATGTAATTGGTCAAGAGTTGGTCACAGCTGTGGCTGAGGTTTTTCCCCATGTGACCTTGGCGCCAGGCTGGCCTGCGGAGGTACTGGGAAGTGGCTACAGAGAGCAGCTGATCACTGATATGCTGGAGCTGTGTAAGGGACTCAGGCAACCTGTGTCCTTCCAGTTGCAGGCCAGTGCACTGAGCCAGAGCCCAGAGGGAGTTGTGGCCAGGCTGCTGGCATCCTCTCCCCAGGCCACAGTCACACTGCAGGCTAGCTTTGCTGGGAGCAGCTACGCAGCTGTGCGGGCAGGGTTGCTGGCGGCCAGGGCCGTGGACAAAACCCGAATCTACTATAGACTACCCCAGGAGTACCACAAAGACTTGCTGGCAGACTTGGGCAGGAACTGATCTCCCAGCTGACCAGTGCTGAGCCAGCTGACCTCTGCAAGGGTCAAGGCTCCCTCAGGAAGGTGGGGAGGCAGGACAAATAAATACCTCTGCTTTTTTTTCTACACACTGTGAGTCCTTGGGGCCAATGGAGCAAGTACCTAGAGAGTCTGGAGGCTGGGGGCCAGGTCATTACGATTGTCCAAGAGAAAATGCTCGCAAGCCTTGAAAGTGGTATAGAATTCTGAGGAGAGGCCAGCCACGTTGGTGGTCACATAGTTGAGAAGTCCAGGGATGGCCTGGCTATAGTAGGATACCTGCAAGCCAGGAAACATCACTCAGAAAAACTGGAAGGGCAGCAAGTATAACCCAGGTCCCTGGGGGTCTTGGAAATCAGTTATAAATCCCCAAAATCTTAGAGGAGTGCTAAAATCTTAGCTGCTCTTCACCACACACTACCACTAGGCCCTGGAGGGCAGGAACTGAGTCTCTAGAGCCTAGCACAAAATCTTTTTAAAATCAAGGTGCCACCCAGCCACCTTAGACATAGGTTTAGGGCTTATTCTGCACATGATAACCCTGGCTGAGCCCACTGCCATGTGACCACCTATCTCTGATTGGAATGTTAGGGTGCTACTTGTCAGAGGCCCTGCCTGGGACATTCCAGGGGGCTGTCTGAAGCTTTAGTCCAATTGTGGACCAGTTTCACGTGCACATTTTTAGGCTACTTCTGAAAAATCATGTTAGGAATGCTCTGGGGGAAACCACTGTGTGTGTGCTGGACAGCTCTACTTCCTCAGATCTCAGCCATGTGATGTGCTGTTTTTATATCAGAACCCAGGCCATGAGTTTTCTCGGAATTACAACACCCCTTTTGTTTACCCCTGACACTCCTAGTTTTCCCCAGACTGGGAGGAGGAGAAGGATGGAGCACAAGGTCTGGAACTCCAGCCCAACAGCATCCATACACCAATGAGTGGGATGGGCCCAGGTAAAGGGGGAAAGGAGACATGGGGACTCACCTTAGTCAACTGGTCCCCCTCACGCCAGAGGCAGAAGCCGGAGCAGAGGGTCTCCCCACGCTGGTACTCTGGAGTCTCCCGATGTGTGGGCAGTGTGACTGACCTCAGTGCAATGACATAGGGGTCTCTGGGTGGCAGCAAAATGAGAAGGATGTGGGGATTGGCCACAGAAGGAGCTGAGGCCCTGCTCCCCTCCCTGGCATCTCTCAAAGCCTTGATGCCTGGCTCAGGACCAGGCTGAATAGAGGCACAATGTGTGTTTATCTCCCACTTTACCCACAGTAGAACCATGGCAGCCCAGCAGGCTGGTGAGGTTGGAGCCTCATACCATGGGAAACAGCTGTGACTCCAAGCTGATGTACCCTCCCTGAGGAGAGAGGTGAGGCCTCCCCATCTGGCCACCTTTTGCACCCCACAGAGGGTAGGTACATACCCATTGTCACAGGGCTTCCGCCGCGAGGCCAGGATCACAAAGTCCCGGGGCTTGATGTCCCCACCGAGAGCAGGGCTGATGACGTGGTAGATGGCGTCGTCCTCATCCACCTGCTGCACCAGCTCCACATTCCTGTGGAGAGGCTGGAGCTCAGGACTGGGAGCCCCACAGTCTGGGGGAGAGCTGGCCTGTAGGGATCCCCTGGGTGCTGTAGCCTCCTTGAAAAGCTTATGTGCTGGGCACTTCATCTCCTGTGCAGATCACAGGGGGCAGCCAGGCCTAGCCACAGTGGACACATACATGAAGGCATGCAAAGGCAGTCACACAAGCAAACACACAGCACACAGAGGCACACATATCCATGTACATAAACACAAAGGCACACAGGCACATACATGGGATATGCTCAACCCCCAATCCTGCCCCCCCCACCCCTCCCCATCCCCGGCCAGGCCTTGCTACGCTCTGACAGCGCCCCCACCAGGCCCTTACCGGTAGTGTTTGTCCCACTCTGGCCTCCTTCGCAGGTCAGAGAGCAGTAAGAAAGCCTGGGCTGCATCTACCTGCACCACCATCTCCATGTGGAAGGAGAAGAACTTATCCTCCTCCAGGGTGTACAGACAGACCTGCAAGGGACAGAGGGAGGCCTCATTCCTATGCCCCTTTCTTTTTCTTTTTTTTTGGGGGGGGTGGTACATTCGTGGGTCCTGAACTCTGGGCCTGGGCGCTGTCCCTCAGCTCTTCAGCTCAAGGCTAGTGCTCTACCACTTGAGCCACAGCGCCACTTCCAGCTTTTTTCTTTTAGAGCCCAGTGTGACAGGGGAGGAGACTGACTGTGATATATTGCTTGCATGTGTGGAACTCTCATGGCAAAATCCTTCCTTATACAACTAACATAGGATAATTTTTTTAAGTGGCAGAGCCCCAACCTGTGGTTGTCTGTATAGCCAGGGCAGAGGGTAAAGGAGAAAGCAGCTGCAAAGAGAGCAGTAGACCAAGGTTGGGTGAGAATGGGAATGGGAAAGATTGGGGCTTCTCAGCCAGACATCAGTGACTCATGCCTGTAATCCTAGGTTCAGAAGGTTAAAATCTAGAGGATCACAGTTCCAAGCCAGCTTGGGCAAAAAAGTTCATTAGACTCCATCTTCAAAATCTAGGCTCTGAGTCCATACCCTAGTACCACTAGAAAGATAGAGAGAGAATGAAAGAGGAAGGAAGGAAGGGAGGGAGGGAGGGAGGGAGGAAAAAAAAGGAACACTTCCCTACACAAGAGGTCCAAGAGAGCCCTGTTACTCGCTACTGACCACCTTTGGATACTAAGAAAGGAGAGTTAAGATGGGTGGACAGTCAGCTACCTGACCACTCTCCGAGGACAGAACCCAGTTTTCCTTAGCCACAAGCATCTTGAGTGAGGACACGTTGTTGTAGCTCAGGTAGACCTAGGAAGAGCACAGAGACAGACAGCTACCCACTGCTCCAGACTCCAGCCATATTAGTGCAGGGAAGGGGCAGGTGCTGTAGCAAGACCCTGGACTTTGGGAGAGGAGGTCCATACTAGTCCAGTCCCTCCATATAATCCTGGAAAAGTCACTCCACTTCCTGCTAATTGGGACACAGGCAAGCCCTTTGTGAATGGGGGCAACATCAGGCAGCATAGAAGATTCCCCGTGGTCTATTCCCTTCAGGTCCCCTCCCAGCCCACTCAGGCCAGTAGGGGAGGTAAAGGGCCTCCCTGCACCCCTGGGACACCGGGGATTTACCTGGTTGCTTGGGTCCCAGGGGACAGAGAGAGGCACCTCCGCCTGCTTACAGGACACAATGTACTTCCTGGGAGGAAGGAAAGATAACAGCGTGGGCCTCTTGGAAGGACAGTGACAGTGCCGTCCACGCGCTTTACCACCAGCCAGTGCCCAGACAGCAGGGTGGAGACTCCTGCCTTGTGGAGAAGTGTGGACACACGGAACCCAGAAAATAGCAGCCACAGCATGTGGCCTTAGACAGCACCTGAGGCAGCTGAGAGCAGACCAGCCAGGGAGGCAGCGTGGGACCGAGGCTCCAGCTCTACTCCATTGCTAATGGAGTACACCTGTGTCTCAGTGTCCCCGTGTGGAGCACAGTGCATAGTATATGGCAAATGCTCCAGAAATATGTGTGTGTGTGTGTGCGCGCGCGCGCGTGTGCGTGAGCATGCGCACACGCTCCAGTATGGGAATTTGTACTCAGAGCCTAGGTGCTCTCCCTCAGTTTTTTTTTTACTCAAGGTTGACACTATGAGCTGTGGCTCCACTTCCAGCTTTTTGATGGTTAAGTGGAGATAAGAGTCTCCAGTGCAGGTGTGAGCCACTAGTGGGTGTCTGGCTATGCATGTGGTTCTTGCTCACAATGGTATGGATCCTGAGGCAGGCTTCCAGCACTCTACAGTAAGGAAGTTGACAGTGGCTTCAGTTCTTGAGCTACTGTGTCTCCTATCTCCTTTCTACATCTGCCCTCTCCACTGCAAGTCAGGGGATGCCCACAGGATTTCAGATCACCAAGATGTAGCTAGGTTCAACGCGGACTGGTGATTGTGCCACCTGATTCCTCTGTCCTCAGTGTCCCCACCTGACCAATGAGCCATAAGACCATTGTGTGGTGAAATGCTGCACAGACCAGCCCCAGTGCAGCCCAGGAGCAACCATGAAGAGACACACTATCCCCCTTCCCTCTACCCACCTGTCCAGGCGGATCTTCTTCCTGGCACTGGCCTCTCGGTATCGACGCTCACCCTCCTGGGAAAGAAGCAGGGATGGCTGCAGCAGGTAGCCTCACCCCTGCCTCACTGTCCCCTGGGGCTGGAGGAAGCTCAGCAGGCCAGACAGAAGTACAGGTCTCACTGGGAAGCTGGAGTTCAAACACTCCAGCCAGGGAAAGTTCAGAGCTGCAGCCCAGCTCCCCTCCGAGTCTCGTATAACCTTGGGAACATCATTTCCCCTGACCTGCCTCAGTTTCTTCCTCTGTAATATGGGGATCCTTAGAGGATGTACACAGTGGTACCCCGAACACCCATAAACCAGCCCTCCCCCCAAGTGATGTCCTTGAGTTCCCCCCACTCCTCCCAGCAGCCCCTGAGCTTTGTCCACTCTGTCCCTAATCTCAAGGAGGGCACAGAGGCTCGCAGAGCTCTGGGGTTTGCCCAAGGTTACAGAGTGTGGGGCAGAGCCAGAATCAGGACTCAGATGCCCATCTTGGTTTTTGTTTTTGTTTTGTTTTGTTTTGTTTTTTTGGGTCTGGTCGTGGGGCCTGAACTCTGGGTCTGGGCGCTGTCCCTCAGCTCTTCAGCTCAAGGTTAGCGCTCTACCACTTGAGCCACAGTGCCACTTCCAGCTTTTTTTCTTTTTGGTTATGTGGTGCTGAGGAATCAAACCCAGGGCCTCATGCATGCAAGGCAAGCGCATTACCACTGAGCCACCTTCCCAGCCCATCTTGGAAGCCCACCTCTCTACCTACCACCACCTCTGCAGCCCCCACCTCATGACCACTTCAGACAGACAAGTGCCCAGGCAATGCTGGGTGCACGTCCCACTCTCACCACCAGCCAGCCATGCCTCCAATGGAAACTAAAGCTCTCCAAAGGCTCCGTGAGAATGTGACAGGGGTGAGGTTCTGAATCCCTCTGCCCCCAAAGCCAGAGTTGTCCCCAATTCTGCAGAGTTGTGCAGGGTTCTTAACACCCGGTATCCACCAGATCCCTCTGACAGCCCAGAGTTCTGCCAGGCAGAGAAAGGTACCCTCCTTCACAGGGGACTCACAGTCACTCAAAGCTGCCTGTGCTTCAGCAGAGGAGCCAGCCCCTCATTCCCCCAGGCCCTGACAGGGATGGGGATACCCTCACCCCATCTGAGCAGAGAGGGAAAGGAGGTGGGGTAGGGTGCCATGGTGCTGTCCCCACTTACCCCAGGCTGGGGCTTAATCCAGGGTAGCTTCAGAGGCTGGTCATCAGGGCCCAGGACTACAAAGGTCATGAAGGCACTGTTGATGTGTCGCCGATGGCTCTCAGCCTCCTGGCGGTAGGCCTCCACACACACACCCACCTCCATGCTGGGACAGGGAGGAAAGGAAGGCTGCACTCCTGCAGGTCACACTCCCAGGTCACACCCAATCTTGTCCATACACACATAGACACAGACATGCGCAAACCATGCACACACACTCCCCTGCAGTTCTTACAGCAAATTGGACCACAGCCCACTGCAGGAACCTGGGAGTCTATTGTTAGCAGTGCTAGCAGAGCACCTACTGTGTGTCTAGCCTGGGGAGACACAAATATGAAGAAACCTGGGGCTGGGAAGGTGGCTCAGTGGTAGAGCGCTTGCCTTGCATGCCTGAGGCCCTGGGTTCGATTCCTCAGCACCACATAAGAAAAAAGAAAAAAGCCAGAAGTGGCGCTGTGGCTCAAGTGGTAGAGCGCTAGCCTTGAGCTGAAGAGTTGAGGGACAGTGCCCAGACCCAGAGTTCAGGCCCCATGACCAGACCCCCCCCCCAAAAAAAATGAAGAAACCTGCCAGGCTTATGCCTCTGGCTGGTAGCCAGGGCAATACACACACACACACACACACACACACACACACACACACACACACACACGTTCCATAAGACTCTTATCTCCAACTACTTAGCAAAAAAGCCAGAAGTGGGAGTGTAGCTCAAGTGTGTAAAGTGCCTCCCTTAAGTGAAAAACTAAGGGACAGCACCCAGACCTTGAGTTCAAGCCCCAGTACTGGCGCACGCACACGCGTGTGTGCGCACGCACGCACACACACACACACACACACACACACACAAGGTGCAGTCAAACTTGAACCCAGGAAGTCTGGCTCCACATCCTCCACCTTTAATGATGCCATGATGGTCTCTGAAATCACCAAAAACTATGCCTAAAGTCGGCTTTCATGGGAGAGAGGTATTAGAATTCAACTCAAAGGAAAGGACTCTGGGGACTCCTGCTTTAGAAACCGCATGGAGAGAGATCTGAACACTGAACACTGGCAAGAAGAAGCCTGGAGTCTCCAGTGACAAGAGCAGAGGAGAGAGACACACGCTGAGCATGTAGAACACTCTGAGACACAAGCCCAGGGCCTCGGGAGGGGCCCTGACCTGGCGCCGAGGGCTGCTGAGCACAGGTGATATGCAAAGAGTGATACGCATCAGGCAGGGCTCAGCCCAAGTCTTCAGGGTGAAGGGCTCCTAGCAAGTCTGAGTTAGTCTCTTCTAGGTCAGGATGTGCCCACAGCCCCTTCTTCACCCCCTCACCTGTGCTTGAAGGCGTTGTTCACAATGGCCTTGAGCACCAGTCGGTCCCCGACCTGGGAGGGGCCTCGGAAGTGGAACATCTCGATGGCCTTCAGCGTTGGGTGGCCCCGGCAGAGTCGGCTAAAGCAGACAGGGGAAATGGCCCGGCTTCAGCTGCCAGCTTGGGGCAGCCTCCTCCTGCCCTAGGCTGTCTTAGTCTGGGACCACACATACTGCCTTCTCCCAACCTACTGACAGATCTGCACAGTGGCAGTCCCATTTCATGGCTTGGAATACTGCGGTCTATGTGCATGGCTAGAGAGGAGCTCAGTTTAGGAGACAGAAGAAAGCCTGGAGCAGAGTATGAGGGCAAATAATGTCACCATTTTCCATTGCAACTTAATAGTTGGTGTCCCCACTTTTACACAAAAACCCTGCTGTCGCACAATACTACTTGTTATCTGAGGCCTGCTGAAGCACACCTTCTCCAGCAAGTTTTCTCTAACCTCCCAGACCTTCACCTTCACACTCACCACCCAGGCTGCCCCAAATGCCATTGCTAAATGTACTCTCCCAGGGTTAACCACAGAGGAAGGGCCTGAGGCAGACTTTAGGATGAGATGAGGAAGAATCAGCCTGGAAGAGGGTGTGGACTGCGCCTCACCTGGCTGCAATGGTGGCCACATTCTCCATCCAGGCCATGATCTGGCCCCCAAAGGTGTTTCCCTGATGATTGGCATGGGGAGGCAAGACCAGCTCCACGCTCTCTACACGCGTTTTCTCTGCTGGCACCATGTGACTGCAGTCTCTGCTGCCCACATCTGGTCAGGGAAGGGACACACAGAGGAGGCAGGAGGGTAAGACACTCCCCACAGCTGATCCTCCTTGGGTGCTACAGCATTCTTTCCACCCTGGGACTCAGTGCCCAGGAAACATGGGCACACACAAGCTAGCCCTGGGTGAGGAATGGGAGGATATGGGCCTGTCGCAGTGCCATGAGACAAGATCTAGCAGCCTGAATGCCAGTCCCAGCCTACACTAGCTGTGGGACCTCAGGTAGAACCAATACCCCTCCGCTGCCCATCTCTTAATAGCCAGATGTCAAATCTATCCCAACAGGACTGTGTGAAGGTGGCATGTGGGCATGGCTATAAAGTGCTTAGTTCCACACTCAGTGACTCGCCCTCCCATCCTGAATGATTTTTTTTTTTTTTTTTGTCAGACATGGGGCTTGAACTCAGGGGGCCTGGGCTTTGTCTGTAAGCAGTTTTGCTCAAGGCTACCCCTCTACCACTTTGAGCTATAGCTCCACTTCCAGTTTTCTGGTGGTAAATTGGAGATAAGAGTCTCATAGAATTTCCTGCCAGGGATGGCTTTGAACCTTGAGCCTCCGATTTCTGACTCCTGAGTCGCTAGGAATATCATCAGCACCTGGCCCATGAATTATCTTTTTTATTTGTCCTGAAACTGCCTCTCTTTGTTTCAAGGAAGAACTCATGTTTAGAACATTCTAGATATTGGTAAAGAAGCCCAAGATCCCAATCTCTGGGCCTTAGCTAGACAACAACCTCTGTCAGGAGCACCTTTCCTGTTCTCTGTGAAAATCCTGGCAGGATTTTAATCAGGCCTTCATGTACTGATTCAGATCAAGTTCCAGGAGACATGAGGAAGGGGAATCAAGACATAAAACAACATGTCCCTTTGGGGTAAAAATCAAGAACTAAGTAATACATAGTCTACTTAAAGATGCAGAGAATACATCTGGAAAGATATTTTTAAAAAAGTAAAAACAAGTAACAGTAGTTGTTTCTGGGGAGGTGGCATGGGTTTTTGGATAGGAAGGAGTCTTGCTTTTTAACTGCATCTTCTTGGGGGAAAGTACATACTTACACAAAAATACTCTTAAATTATCCTAGAGATCTCTGGAATCTAGACTTTAAAGACACACTCATAGAACAGATAGACAGACTGATACACACACTCACACACAGAATTTGATTGTAATTTGAATTATTTGCAGAGAGGGAGAAACAAAGAGGAGTGGAGAGAATGATGAAGAGTGAATATCTGAACATATTCTGTCTATATATATATTTTTAAAAATCCAGTTGGGTTCTGGTGGCTCATACCTGTAATCCTATCTACTCAGAAGGCTGAGATCTGAGGATCATGGTTCTAAGCCAGCCAGGGTGAAAAAAAAAACAAACCATGAATCTCATATCTCCAATTAACCACCAAAAGGCCAGAAGTGGAGCTCTAGTTTAAGTGTCAGAGTGTTAGCCTTGAGCAAAAAAGCCCAGGGACAGCACCCAGGTCTTGAGTTCAAGCCCCAAATCCACGCTATAAATTAAAAGAAAATCCTACAAGTCTCATGGGGCTGTAGGTCCGGCTCAAGCTATACAAAGAGCTTGGCTGGCAAGCACCAGGCCTTGAGTTCAAACCAATTTAAAAAAGAAACACCTCACAAGTCTCTGTAGCCCAGATCAATACTACCTTCTGAAATTCTTTGGCTCCTAGAGGTCCAAAATCATTCTGAGGGGAATTCCCATCCATCTCTACACCATTCCAAATGCTGGCCCAGCACCCTGCTTTTCCAGACTTTGGGGCCAAGAAGGCTAGCGGAGTCCTGAATCACCAGGGGCCAGAGAGGTCCCTAGGATATTCCTCTTCTTTCCACTCACAGGCTCAGGGTAGGGGACAAGGAGCAAGGGGGCAGGGGTCATGCAGGCTACAGGCTACTCACCATCTTGGATGGCACAATGGGCCAGCAGGTCCTTGATGGTGTCCGCATAGACCAGCCTCATGCGCCTGCGCTCAGCTGCTACACCATGTTCAGTCTTTTCCTCCTCTGTCCTTGGTATGACCTGTTTCAGCTTCACCTGTTGGCCAGGGGACAAGTGGGGGGCTACTCAGGACAAGATTTTTCCTTTTCTTTTCTTTTTTTTTTTGTAATTTGCCAGTACTGGGGCTTGAACTCAGGACCTGGGCACTTTCATTGAACATTTTTGTGCTCAAGGCTAGTGTTCTACCACTTGAGCCACAGCTCTACTTCCAGCTGTCTGTGGTTAATTAGAGATAAGAGTCTCATGGGCTGGGAAGGTGGCTCAGTGGTAGAGTGCTTGCCTCACATGCATGAGGCCCTGGGTTCCATTCCTCAGTACCATATAACAGAAAAAGTTGGAAATGGCACTGTGACTCAAGTGGTAGAGTACTAGCCCTGAGCTGTAGAGCTGAGGAACAGTGCCCAGACCTAGAGTTCAGGCCCCATGACCAACCAAAAAAAAAAAGTCTCATGGACTGTCCTTCCTGGGCAGGCTTTGAGCTGTGATCCTCAGATCTCATACTTTGGAATAGCTAGAATTACAGACATGAGCCACCAGCACTCCATTCAGGACAAGTTGTCTAAAGCAGCCCAAGGCCCTGTTTTCTACAACTAGGTTGAGCCCCCTCCCCAGGCTGCTACAAGGTTTAGGGCCTCCTCTCTCTCTCTTTTTTTTTGAGGGGGGGTCCGGTTGTGGGGCCTGAACTCTGGGCTTGGGTGCTGTCCCTCAGCTCTTCAGCTCAAGGCTAGCGCTCTACCACTTGAGCCACAGCACCACTTCCGGCTTTTTTCTTTTTGCTTATGTGGTGCTGAGGAATCGAACCCAGGGTCTCAGGCATGCAAGGCAAGCGCTCTACCACTGAGCCATCTTCCCAGCCCCAAGGGCCTCCTCTCTTTTGTGGCCACCTTCCTGCCTCCACCTTCACCTCATACATCGTGTTTATCTTCCTAATGACCCTGCAGGATGCAGGGTCTTGGGCAAAGACCCAGAGAATATGGGCTCACTAGAACATGAGGAATGCTGGTGTGAGATATATAGGAAGAGCTGGGGGAAAGGAGAAGGAGGGATGGCAGAGGTCCCTCCCCTGGGAGCTGGATCCCTAGCCTGGCCTCCCGTGACAGGCAGCCCAGAGTAGCAGGAGGCACGACCTACCTTGGAGAGCTCCCGATGGGCCACAAAGGTGGCCAGGGCCTTACATACACTCCACTGCTTCTCAGAGCACAGGTCCTCGGAGGTCACCTGGATGCCCACCTAGAGATGTAGAAGAGGTAGGTGGGAGGAGTGAGGCCCGTGCGCACGACACCGGCAGTGTCACCCAGGCAGGGCCTGAGTGACAGGTTTCTCTCTCATCTGCCAGACCTGGAAGGCCAGGGACCTCAGTTAGTTCTGGCTCTTGTCTTTGGCTTCCGGAAAACTTTGGGCAACTCACTTGCCTTCTCTCGTCTTGATTTCCTCATCTGGAAAATTGGAGGGGTCACAGCCACCCTGGAGAGTTACTGAGAGGATTAACATGGGGCCCCTATTCATGAAAGGGATTCAGTAAGTAAATGTTGGCTAAATTTAGAAGGTAGATGCCTGAGGTGCCTAGGGAATACCTGGGTATTTGAGGGGTGCCCAGGGGCAGAGGTAGGCCACTGCTATCCAGCCTGGGTGACCGGGTGAAGCAACCTAGGCCCAAGGCATTTCCCTGCACTCAAAGAGTTCCCAATGAACATCCCATACCTACAACACAGGAACCCCAGTACACTCTAAGAAGGGTGAGCAGAGCCTTGGGAGGTGAGATAACAGCCAAAACTCAGCACTGGCCCACTGGAGCCACTGGAGCCCTGGACCAGACAGCTCTGCCAGCCTCCATTCCTATACCACAGGCTACCACCGGCTACTGACTGACAGTCCGGCCCTGACAGCATCCAGGAAGCTCAGAAGCCTGAGGCAAGTCCCTTTCCCTTCCCAGGTCTCTGTTTTCCCTCTGTGCAATGGAGCATTGGCCCAGAAGGTTCTGGGTCCTCACAGCTCTATCAGATGGTTCAGAACTCTGGGCAGGGGCAGTGAGGTCAGAGAGGAGGACAGCCATTTCCCACCCCCAGGCAGGGCCACCCCACACACCTCCATGCTGGAGTTGAAAGCTCGGTTCACCTTGGCTTTGATATTCACCACTTGGCCAACACTGGAGAGAGGAAAGCAGGTGGTGAGCCTTCCAGAAAGGACAGGAGAGGGAACTGGGGACTCTGATACCCGTGGCCTATGCGGGGTGGGGGTGGGGGTGGCTGGCCAGAGGCTCCAGAACACATTCACATCGTTGATATCACCAAGCCACCCAGCCAGTTTCACCAGCCATCTTATGAAGCTATGTGGCTGATGTCTCCCCTTCCTGCTTTTCTTTCTCCCATCCGGGTAGTGCTGAACTTCTTTTTGCCCTTGGCTCTCTCCTCAGGGAATCCCTCTTGCACACCATTCACTCTCCAGCATTTCTCCCCATAGGCTGACCTCTGTCTCCCAGTCCTTAGGGCCACTGCAACAATGGCCATGTGGCTATGTCGTTTGTTTTTGTTTTCTCTTGTTTTGCAGTACTGAGGGTCAAACCCAGAACCTTGTACACCAGGTAAACACTCTACCACCAGGTGCACCACCTGCCCAAAGGGCCATATGTTTTGCTCACCTTTGACTCTTGAGTCTCAGGACATAGCATAGCGTGTGTCCTCCCTGAACAGTAGCAAGCTAAATCAATAAATTTACATTTATTGAATGTCTACTAAGTGCAAGAGTTTAGAGAGAGAGAGAGAGAGAGGGAGAGGGAGAGAGAGAGAGTAGACAGGGAAAAGGAAAGGTTTTCTTTTTTGGTAGTATTAGGGTTTGAATTCAGGGCTTTTCATGGAAAAGGAAACATTTGAAGCAGGCCCACTATTTGCCAGGTACCATTTTTGAGTCTCAAAACAAGTATGACAGGTGGGTCTAGGAGGGATTAAACATCAAGGAGGTTAGCCATTTTTTCCAAGGTCACTCAGCTCACGGATGACGTGGCCAGGATTCTAAGCTGATTGTGTTGGCTGGTACCAGCCCCCTTTTTTCCAACTGTAGCCCATCATCACTGTCGTCATCCCTACCCATCCCCAGGGAGCCAGGATGCTGCCCTGTGCCTGACTAGAAGCACTAGCTGCCCAGCTCGTGCCCAGTCAATGGGCTGTGGGGGTGAGGGCAGGAGGCTGACAGCCAGTCACCATGTGACCTCAAGCAGCCCTTTCACCTCTGTGCACCTCAGCTGGTGAACATGCAGCACACAGGACTATCTCCTCCCGTGCCTGAAAGGCTCCATTCCCAGGGGCCTGCTGGTCAGTGGGCTGCACTGAGTCACAGAGGCCTATCAGATTCCATATTGCTCGACCTTGACTGTCACACCCCGAGAGTCATGTCACCTCTCAGGGTCTTTCCGCATGAGGAAGGTACAGAGAGCTCATGTGCCCTGCCTGCACCTATAAGGACAGGGAGAGAGGCAAGGTGACTCAGCCAGCACGAGGCCTGGCTCTGTGAGTCACAGGAGCTTCCCCAGTGCTGGCACTCAATTTCCATGAGTGTTTCTTAGGGGCACTGACATGGAGGAAGATCATTGGTAGGAGATACCTGCTAACATGCAGAAGGACAAAGTGCCATGTCTACAACTCACTTTCAAATGGTTCAGAGAAAGACAGAGAGACAGAAAAAAATCTGCCCTGTTATTTATCCATCTGTAGATAAAGCAAGCTGAGCAAAATCCTAATTATTAGATCTCATTAACAGTGACCATTTTACTACTCAGTTTTCTATATGCTTAGAAAGGGTTGTGTGTGTGTGTGTGTGTGTGTGTGTGTGTGTGTGTCTGTGTGTGTGTCTGTGTGTCTGTGTGTCTGTGTGTGTCTGTGTGTCTGTGTGTCCTGGGGCTTGAACTCAGGGCCTGCACGCTGTCTCTGGCAAGGCTAGCACTTTACCACTTGAAGCATAGCTCTTCTTCTGTTGGGTTTTTTTTCTGGTTAATTGAAGATAAGTACCTCAGATTTTCTTTCCCCAGTTGGCAACAAACAGCAATCCTCAATTAAAATGAGGAACTAATAGCCATGACTTCATAATGTTGCTCTGAGTATCAAATACACTCATGTATCAAAAGGAATTCTAAGCCAGGTACTAGTGGCTCATGCCTGTAATCCTAGCTACTCAGGAGTCTGGGATCCAGAGAATCTAGCCAGCCCAGGCAGAAAAATTCTCAAGATTCCATCTACAAAATAACCAGCAAAAAGCTGGACTAGTTACATGGCTCACATAGTAGAGGGCTAGTCAAGAAAGAAAGCCAAGTAAACATGAGGCTGTAAATTAAACTCTAGTACCAAGGAGGGGAAAAGATATCAGAAGTGGTTCACTAATTGTATCAAAAGTACCCTAAATATGTAAGATATCCATAACAGGGGAACTGGAAATATGATATATGGGAACAAAGGAGGCCAGACACTGGGTTCTGAATCTCACAGCCAGTGGTTATATTCAGAAATTTCTCTCTTTTTTCGTAAACCTGAAACTATTGTAAAATAAAAGGTATCTGAGAAAGTATAACAAAGCAGCTACATGTCGGATCTCATTATGAGTGTGGAATGTCCCACATTTTTGTTGTTGATGTGCTAGGGATCAAACCTAGGGCTTTGCCCATGCTAAGCAAACACTCTACCACTGAGCTACACTCATAGCCCATTTTCTCATTTCCCGTGGACATGACGTTTCTTACATCTGCCTCTCCTGCAGACTAGATTATAGTCTAGTCTGCAGAGATTTTACTCAGGGAACTCTGCTTTCAATCACAGCAAGGCCGTGGTCCAGAAAGATGCCCAACTAATTTTAAGTACGTCATGACTAACTGATTGGTACTGGGACTGGTTAAGCTTTCTCCTTAATGGTGACACCAAAAGCACCTAGGCAGGCCTGATAAGGCCTCTGCACTTGATGTCCTAGGTACAGGCAGCACATTTAGGAGCAGGCCCAGAGATTAGAACTCTGTGTGCAGGCCCTGTAGCCTGTGCTGAACCAAGGGCTTAGCATGGACCTTTCATCCCAGAAGCAGGATAGTGACCCAGTGGCAAAGCCCTGGGAAACAAGCTCTGTGCAGTGGAATAAAGAGCTTTCCAACCAGTACCCATTACTGAATAAAGAAGAAAATCCAGACATAGGAGTGCATGCTTATAACCCCAGCCCTCAGAAGACTGAGGTAGGAGGATTGCAAGACCCCCAACTACATTTAAAAAGGGGAGAGGGTCCACTTTCATAATGAATTCCTCATGGTATAAACAGAAGATGGCTAGCTAGGCTTTGCCAAGAGTCCTTGTCTAGGGCTTCTCTGCAGAACAGTAACCACTGACACACAGAGAACACAAGTCTGAACTCAAAAGTCATTGGGCACTGGTGGTTCATGGCTGCAATAATCCTAGCTACTCAGGAGACTAAGATCTAAGGATTGAAGCTTAAAGCTTGCCCAGGACAAAAAAAAAAAAATAGTGAGACTGGGGGTTTTTTTGGTTGGTCATGGGGCTTGAACTCTGGGCCTGGACACTGTCCCTCAGCTCTTCAGCTCAAGGCTTGCGCTCTACCACTTGAGCCACAGTGCCTCTTCCAGTTTGCTGAGTGGTTTATTGGAGATAAGAGTCTCATGGACTTTCCTGCCCGGGCTGGCTTTGAACCATGATCCTCAGATCTCAGCCTCCTGAGTAGCTAGGATTACAGGTGTGAGCCACTGATGCCCGGCCTATAGTAAGACTCTTATCTCCAATTAATCAGCAAAAAGCCAAAAATGGAGATGTGACTCAAGCGGTACAGCATTAGCCTTGAGTGGAAAAGGCCAAGCAAGAGTGCAAGACCTTGAGTTCAAGACCCAGCAGCACCACCCCCCCAAAAAAAGGCATTCTCTGTTCTCTGAGCCAGTCTAAGTCTTTCCATTTCACAGATAAGAAAACTGAGGCCAAAATCACACAGAACACTGTGACAATATCTCAGCAACTTCCCACTACAAATGGGTAAAACCCACTCTGTGACACGCAGCAGCAGGCAGCCCTAGCCCCACTGCTGTCCTAGAAACCCCATAGATGGGTCTTTTGCTTCCTAAAGGCCATCCTCAACCCATTTTCAAAGGCCATCAGTCAGTTGAATCAGGCTTCAAGCAGCACAGAACCTGGGCAGCGGTGACAGAAAGGACAGTCCAGGGCTTGTGATGGGAGATCAGATGGACCATGAAGCAGAAAGGGCTGCTTACCTAATAGTGTGCTCAAAATAGATGTCATCCATGGAGGCTGTGACACAGGGGCAGCCGGCATGCCTCTCCGCTGGCATTGGGACAAGAAAGACAGTGGTTAGCAGGCTCCTCACATCACACGGCACTCTGATCGAGTGTCTCCTCCTCAAGAAGCTTCTCTATCTGCATGAGTACCCTACCTACTCCCTACTCCTTGGCTTCCTGTCCCTCTTACCCTCACCCTCTGGAACCTCTTCCTGCACCCAGAACTAGATCAGGGCCATTCACCTGTGGGCTGGATACAGATACAAGAGAAGATCAGAATGAGCGGCCACAGTCATCTCTCTCCTGGCAGTTTTCAACCCATGAAGCAGCCAGGTTGAAGACTACACCATATGGCTATAGGGACCTGGGCACTACACCATATGGCTATAGGGACCTGGAATGAGGTATAAGCTGCACCAGCACTGTGACATGAGAGGACATTTCAGGCAGGGGGGACTGGCATGGGCCAAGGCCGGGAGGAGGAACAAGTATGACAACTGGAAGACAGTAGCCATCTTTGGAAAAGCCTTCTGCTCTGGGTCTTGGGGCCAGTGGTGGGGGACGCTGTGCCGATCACCTGAGAGGCAGGCCGTGGTGTCAATCCACTTGAGCAGCTGCCCAATACTCAGCTCGCTGCGCTGGTTGGTGTGGCAGGGAAGCACCAACTGGCTCATCTGCACCTCTGTGGGATTCCGGTACCCCTCACCCTCCACCATGGTGTCCTCTTCCTCTGCACGTGGGATTGACTTCCTGGATGTGCGGCTTGAGAACACGGAGGCCAGGCCCTAGGGACAAGTGGTGATGGGAGTCAGCTCTCTGCAGATTTCCCAGGTCTGCCCAGCCCCAAGACTGAGGAGGATGAAGACCCGAGGAAGATGAGAAGCAGCCCAGAGCCACCTCCAACCAAGCCCAAAAAGAGTGACCACTATCTCCAGCCACAGTCTCAGAGCCCGGGGGTTCTGTGGATGCCACCTGTGCCCACCATCTAGCCAACAACACTATCCGCTGAATTTAACCTCAAATGGGGGGATGGGTTGTGGAAGACCAAGGCTGAGCATCTACCTCCTCCCTCTCTGGCTTGTAGGCTGATTTTTCAAAGTTTTACTCTGCATTGATCTTGTTTTTTTGGTACTGGGGTTTGAACTCAGGGCCTGTACGTGCTACGAAGACACACTGCCCACCTGAGCATTGAGAAACTGATGCTGAAATGTGCCAGTCATTTGGGACAAGCACTATGTGATCCATTCATGGGGATCCTCAGAGCAGTTCATAAGACACAGTATGCTGGTTCCTGGGGCCCAGGGAGCACGGAATGGGGAGTTAGGAGTTCAACTTGAGAAGATGAAAACGTTCTGGAGATGGTTAGTGGTGGAGGTTGTCCAACAATGTAAATGTATTTAATGCCTTTGAAGTACAGTTCCCTTACAAATATATAAAATGTAAGTGGTATAAATACTTTAAGTGAGGAAATTGTCAGACTATACTTAAAAAAGCAAAACCTAGCTAGATGCTGGTAGCTCTTACCTATGATCTTAGCTATTCAGGAGGCTGAGATCTGAGGATTGCCATTTGAAGCCAGCTCAGACAGGAAAGCCTGTGAGATTCTTATCTCCAATTAACTACCAAAAAGCCAGAAGTGGAACTGTGACTCAAATGGTAGAACACAAGTCTTAAGAAGCTCAAGGATAGTGTCTAAGTCCCAAGTTCAAGCTGTAGGACCAGCACACACACACACATACACACACACACACACACACACACACACACACACACACAGCCCAATCATAAAGAGGGAGGGAAGGCTAGGGATGGAGCTCAGTGATAGAGTTTGTACAGCCCCTTCCTGCAAAAAAGGCCAAATGGGTATAATGGCATCCATCTATAATCCTAGGTTGGAAGAGTTGAGGTAGGAGAATCTGAGCCAGACAGACTATATATTGAGACTCTATCAAAAAGAAGGAAAAGTGGGGGGAAGAGAACAAGGAAGGAGGGAGGGAGAGAGGGAGGAAGGCAAGGAAGAAAGAAGGAAGAGAAGAAGGGAAGAAAGGAGGATGGGGAAGGAAGGAAAGAAGGAAGACAGGAAGGAGAGGAGGGAGGGAGGGAGGGAAGAAGAGAAGAAGAGAGGGAGGAAGAAAAGGAGAGGAGCTGGAGAAAAGGTTGGAAGGGAAAGTCTCTTCCCCTTCCTGTACCCTTCCTACTCAGGAGGCCCAGTGGGCGAGTAAGCTCTGGGGCAGTGGAGCCTCTCTGAAATTGTTCCAGTAAAGTGAGCCACAGCGCGTAGCTCAGGTTTCGTGCCTACAGGCCCCTCTCAGCTCTTTCTTTCCTGAGCCTCCAGTGGGCACTGCACCTTCAGCTCTGGGATCTATTGACTGTGAGGGCTCCAGGCAGTCACAGATCAGCTGTCTGATCCAAGGCAGGACTGCTGTAGCTGCCAGCTGGTGAATCAGCAAAGAAAGCCCTTCAAACTCACATATGGGGATGAGGTTTCACGCTCTTATGGGTTTCCCTATACAGCCAGGCTGGCCTCAAACTTAAATCTCAGACAGAAAGTGGCCATGCCTGTCATTCCCTCAGATGGAAGGGACCTGAAAACACCTCTCTGGGCTGTCTAGTCACTGTAAACTCCAGAGCCAGACTCACCTGCACATGTGAGAAAACCAAGCAGGGCCAGGCAGTGAGTTCAATCCTCCTGGCCATGCCAACTATGCTGCGGTGGTAACAATCACAGTGAACATTTATATATATTTATTGTGTATTCTTCTAAGCATTTTCATATATTAATTAGATTTAATATATACATCAATCCGTGTGATGAGGACAATATTATCCTCATCTTACTGACAAGGCCCAGATAAATGGCAAAGCCCAGCAGCAATCCCAGATGTCTAGCTGTCAGTCTGAGCTCCCATCTACCACACACACTGCTGTCCATCCTCCTGGGGCTACATGATAAAAGGACCAGAGCCCTGGGCCTAGGATGCATCATGACCACAGCTGCAGGACAGGGCAGCCCTGGCTCTTTGGATGATTTATCCCACATGGGTCCCATAGCTAATTCAATAAATCCAAAACACAATGGGGTGACTTGCTCAAAATTCCTGATCCCTAAAATGGTAGACCTGGGACTTGAACCAGGTCTGTCTGGCTCAGAACTGCTACTGGTTCCCAGACACACAGCTCATTCCCAAAGCCCAAGTGTCAGGCACAGTGCCGGGCAGCAAGGAGAGGAGGGCAGTGGCTCCAGGAGTTGTCAGCTTAGGTGGGGGCCTCTGGGGTGCCAGGCTGCTTAGTTTTCAGGCTCTTGCAGGGAGCTTGAATGTCCAAGCAGCAGGGCTTGTTGCCATGGTAACCACTGCCAAGGCGTTTGCAGCCTGGCTGTGCACTGCGGCCTGCATGGATGACTTTCTGGGTATGGAAGAGGGTAGAAGGAGAAAGTGGGAAGACTATATTTGCTTGTTCTTCTGGGAAGAATATTGTAGAAAGAAGCCCTAGAGAGAGCTGAAGAAATGCAGGAGGCAAGATACAGAGGGCAAGCCAGCAGAAGAAAAAGAGCCGATGGTCCAAGGTTCCTGGGCTATAGTCAGACTATACCATATCTGGCTGGATGTTCACTAAGAAGGCAGGACTAGGAATCAGTGGTCCATCTTACAGGTGAGAGACAGGATGGACAGAGCCCTGGGCAGCAGTCAGCAGCAGCCTGAGTTCCTGTCCTTTACCTCTTATTGTAGAATCTCCTGTTTCCAGTGCTACACTTCCTGTCTTCCCATTGAATTCTACATGCCTGGAAACAGTGTCTTTGCCTCATTTATCCATTCATTCCATCATTTATTCATTCATCAATCACCTCCTGTGCATGGGGTCCTTGGGCCAAACACCATAAATTCAAGACAAATTAGGCCTAGAAGGACTTGCCACATAGTAGGACTTCATCAAAAGCTTACAGAGGGATGACCAGAAGCAGACTTGAATGTAAATCATTTCCAGTAAAGACACTGGGCAGTCCAGTTTCTCCAACAGACAGAAATACAGTGCTTGTGCAAACAGACCTGAGCCCCTGCCTAAAGTGGAGTGAGGACCTCATTCTCACTCTCCCCAAACTTCCCTCGAAGGAAGGGGACACAGGCTAGGCTAGTGCACAAGCAGTGGATACAGAGAGGCTCAGGTGATTCCAGGCCCAGGCTTTCAGAGTCTACCTCCTTCCTTGGGTTCCTAGTCAATCTGCCCCTGCCAGGGCCAGACCATGCCAAGCCTCCCAGCCCCCAAGGTGGGCATCCAGCCAGTCAGGAGGCAGGGGTGTGTGCAGTCAGGCAAGGTTTGGCCAATGGGACCCCAGAGTAAGGCCACTCCTCTCAAGAGAACAGAGATCCTGGCTACAGCTAGGGTCTGGGCTACAGACAGAGCCCTGACAGCTGACATGGCCAAGACACCAGAAGAGGGCTTGCAGAGGTCACAGACGCGCTCTCTCAGACCTCAACCATGCCACACCCTGGCCCAAGGCCACAGCAGACCTGGCTAGATTTGATAGTCCTAGACTAGGCATGAGCTGAGGCACCAAGTGCCCCCTCCTGGCTGGAGTTACCTCATAGAGTCAGATCAGGGAAGCCTATGTGGCGGAACCCCTCCCCCTCAAAGCTGGGGATAAAGCAGGGAGAAAAAGGCTGGTCCAGTGTCAATCAACAAATGAGAAGCCAAGATAAGTCCCTTGGGCCAAATCCCGTCACCCAATCTGACAGTAGACTTCATCCTGATTTCCTCCCACCCTTACAGGCTCAGTAGACCCCATGCCCTTGCCAGTCCAGACTCCTGCACTGCTGATGAGGATATTCAGCCTCCCAGTGCTCCACCTCCTCCCAGCCTCCACACAGAAGCCAACGGGGTTGTTCCAAAAAAAAAAAAGTCAACTTGCTCAAGCACAGCCACCCACTTGATCCCACGTTGCAAGACAACAAGGTCAAATCCTCCCGACTCCTCCCATCCCAGGGCTGCACTGTTCACTGGGTCCTGGGGAACACAGACCTTTCTAAAGAGCAACCCCTCAATAGGCACCTCCCCAGCCCAAGACACGAGGATGGCTCCTGCTGCTGTCAGAGATGGAGGCCCAGCCAGCACAGCAGCTCCTGCCACTCGCCCCAGCAGCTGCCCTGGCCACTGCAGACCACCTGTGATCGTCTCATCACTCCCACTCTGTTATCTGCCGTGGGACAGGATGGAATCCCTAAGTCTGCCACTGTCTGACCTGTGTCCCCTCCTCCCCCCCTTCATCCTCCTGGCCCACCTTCCTCAGGGGAGGCTGGGGCCTCTAGGCTCCTGCAGCCTGGTCATCTCCATTGCAACACCACAACTCCTCTACAGAACAGCGACTAGGCCACGTTCAGGACAGGTGCCCACAACCACCCATGGAAGGCACAAAAGAACAGGTTAATAACGAGCAGCCTTGGAGCTAAACTTGGAGGACTAGAACAGTGTGAGGTGCAGAGGCCCCCAGGAGGAGCAGAGAGAAGCTGGAATGACAATGGTTCTGGAAACATAAGTCAGGGTGCTGGGGAGCAGGTGGGAGAGTACTGCAAGGGTAAAAACAGAAGGGAAGGGGCAGTCAGGGGCAGGGAGGCCATGCCAGGGAGTCCCAGAAACCCTAGAAGACCCTGGAGAAGGGCGTGGTTCTTGTGGTGAGTGGGAGGAACAATGGGTATAGGGGACTGTAGAGCAACAGGCTAGTGCAAAGGACATTGCTGCCCCAGTGCAGAATGGGCATGGGTGGCTCTGAAGTAACCCATCATGACACTGG